TCGCTATGAAGCTAATCCGATTACTGCTGAGACAGCTTTTACTAAAATCTAATTAAGCTAGGTGACTTTTGTAGCTAGGCTACTTGACTTTTCCGGTCAAGTACATACGAATTTATGTACCATGTAATTTTTCTCTAAAGGCCAAATGATACTAACGATTGGCGATAAGACCAAATCACACTAGCAATTGGCGATAGATGATTGACGATTGAAGATTGGAACTTGACCAATTGGAACAAAGCAAGCCAAGGCTGAAGGCTTGTTGATTCGTTAAAATCTAATCTTTAATTGTTAATCGCCAATCGCTAGTGTGATTTGGCCTTAAGTCTGCAACCAGAGAGAGAGAGAGAGAGAAAGAAAAACATGGTAGCATTTGATCTGTTCTTTTGAGCTGCACTACTGCAATAAATTAAAGTGAGATTAAATTTATTTGTCTTATTCTAACTTATTGCATCAGTTAGCAGTGTAGCTGAAAAGAACAAACCTAGGTTGCGTTCTGTTTCACGCATTATGCACGCATTGCCTACAATATACGTGACACGAACTATAGATAAATGCGCGCATATGCGTGAAACGGAACGCGGTCCTATTGAGGCGCGTTCGAAAACTCCACCCGGGTTCTTCTCCTCTCTCTTTATCTCACTCCTGTATCTTTTTCACTCCAACGCGGCGAGTGCACTCGGATAGAGTTTTCGAACGCACACTTGGTAGTATGCTCTCCAGTGTTCTTCGAGTGTGTCCTGTATTGTCAGCTTTAGAGACTGACTTTAAGTTAATAGTTATATATATATATAGTAAACTTTAAGTTATTTAGTTACAAACAAAGAGTAAATAAATATAGGAAATTATAACAAATCTATTCTGAAGAAATGGGTCCTCCAAAACGTTTCAAAAGGGACAATAGTACGTATAATCTAAATCTTTATATACTATTTCATTTATCATAAATTAAACTTTTATATTTTATGCGACTTTTGCATTTATGTCCTATTTTTACATTGTTGTAATGTGTATATATATATGAACAAAAGTAGTACATGCAATTGTACTGTATACCTCAATTCATTATTCGTACTTACTAATAAAGGTAAATGGAAAAAGCGTAAAGAAGATTATGATGAATACAATGATGAAGATTCAATCGATAGTAATGAAGCAGATGGTGTGCCAGATGCAGCAAAAAATGATATGGAGAAACAGGACGAGAGTGCAATCGAAGATGAGTTTGGAGCAAAAGATTATCGCTTACAAATGATTTTAAAATCAGATTGTGCATCTAGACCACTATGGGTGGTAAGCTGTTAGGTTTTAATCAAATAAGATCATAGGATTACATTACTTTCTCTTTATAGACATTTAGTAATCTTTATAGGCACCAAATGGGCATATCTTTTTGGAATCCTTTTCTCCTGTATATAAACATGCTCATGATTTTTTAATAGCAATATCAGAACCTGTATGCCGACCAGAATATATTCACGAGGTAGATTTT